TTAAAATAAAATACACAGAAGGGTAACAAGGTGCCAGGGAGGTTAATCTTCAGGAGCAGAGAGGCGGCACCCTGTCCCGGGACACTGGGAAGCTGTCAGCGGCAAAGAAGTGGTGGACTTGGGGGTTCCAGCCTCAGGGAAATGGGGGCTCAGCAGTCTGTGAGGTCACAGGGGTGGAGGATGTCACCCAGAGGGGACAGGGGAACAAAGGAAGAGCCTGAGCAGAAGGGCGACCAGAGGCAGCACCACAGAAGAGCAGGTGAGGGTGCAGAGGGCAGAGGGCCAGTCAGAAGGAACAGGGTGAACAGCGTCCTGGGCGCCGAGGAGGAGGGCGCAGGGTGGGCGGCGAGTGCAGCAGAATGAATCTGGGGGAGAGCCGAGCCTCCCGGGGGGCAGACGGGCCAGAAAGTGAAGCTCAGAAGGTGCTTTCATGGGGACTCCCGCCTCCTGTGCACAACCTCTTCCCCTTCTGTTGAGTTATCACTGAGACTTTAATAGAGAAAGACTCCCTGCAGATCACGGGGACCAAGTTTCCAGAAGATGCACAAAACACATGTAACTAAGATCTACTTGGAAGAAGCAAAAACCTAGTCCTCCAGTTCCCAGCCCTGCTCTGGACCTCAGAGGACGGTGCTCGCCCCGGAGCGGGGGACAGGCCCTGGACTCCTCTTCACAGAGAGCCCCAAGTCCAGGGAGATGGACGGTGGAAGAACCTGGGAAGTTTTCCACGAGAGGCTGGGACTGAGTTACAGCAATTCAAAGACGTGTTGCCTACCTCCAGAGTAGATATTATAGATGCTTTTTCTCTTAAATCATAGTCAGGGTAAAGTAACCACCATTCACTGAAACCTACTGTGTGCTGAGAGCTGTGCGCATGCTCGGCCCACTTCCAGAAGGTGCTCTGCTTTTAGCCGCAAGAGGACACCACAGTGGTGGGTGCGGGGGGGACCCTGACTGCGCCCCACGGAGCCATTTCCCACCCTCAGATGGGAATGCCGATCAGGTCCGGGTTTCAGACGCTTACATCCCCGGCCTGTCACGACCGGGCAGTCACCTGCTGCCCCGGGGCCCCTGCTACGTATCTGCAGAGTGGCTGACCTCTAACCTCTCTTCCAGTACAGGTTTCTGTGATCCTATAAATAACTGGAACCAAGGGCAGCAGAGCCAGCCAGTGCCCCCAGGAGAAACACCTGCTCCAGGCAAGCCTTGTCCTCGGAGGGCAGGTTCCCTAAGGCTGGCGATGATTAACCAGAACCGCAAGAGGCCGGCAGCACAGTGAGGCGGGAGGGGCTGCGGCCGAGTTGGCAAAAGCCCTGGGAACGCGGCTCCTTCACGGCGGAGCTGGGCCGCTCTGCCCGGAAGCTCACACACATCAGGCGCTGCTGGTGGTGCGAGGGCGCCCCTGGGTGCCCGGGGTGCTGGGAGCTGGGCGAGGACATCCCTGGTGACACTTGGAGGGGCCGGCTCGCCTGGCCGTGCCCCTGCCCCCCTGTCCGGTGGAGGCTGCGCCCCAGTTGCAGGCCGCTCCCTGGAGTGGATGTGGCCAGGCCTGCCCTCACTGCCCCCACCCCACCCCCACCTGCCTCCACGGCGCCGTCCCCTCGGCTTGGTGCTGGGACTCCACAGCCGGGCCGGGCCTGGGCCCAGACCTCCAGGAGGGCCCGCCTGGCTCCACATAACCCCGCGCTGGGGCGACACACAGCAGTATTCCCACCCAGCGGTGTCTCTGGCAGCAGCGGGGGTGACAGGTGAAATGTTTCTCCAGAGAAGGAAACGCCTTCGTGATTCTGGAAGAATGAAGAACGGTCTGGGCACAGATTTCTCCTGGGGTGACAGCACTGACCGCTCTAGTGGGAGAGAGAGGCCTTCTGTGCGTCCTGTCCCGGGCAGAGCCTGATGGACGCCTGTGCCCCGCAGGCCGCCCACAGCCCACCCAGGGCTGAGTCAGTCGGTGGTGGCAGACGCCCTCCAGCTCCCTCCACGCCAGCAATCGGCTCCTGAAGCGCGTCCATGCCTTCACTGGGAGGAAGGAGCAGGTCAGGTCTCCCGGGCCAGCCCACAGCCGCCTCGGGGGGAACAGCTGGCCCAGGAGCATCAAGCGGAGGTCCTCGGTCCCAGGCTTGCTGTGGCCAGGCCGAGACAGAGGCAGGACCGGGGCCCCAGAGCTGCTCAAGGCCAGAAGGGCGGCCCGTGGGCCAAGACACAGCCCCAGAGGCTAAGGGCACCTGGCCATCTGCCACCTCAGACGGATCAACACTGGGATCAAAGGCCTAAACCAGAGCGGGGTCATCCCACCCCGCGGAACACAGTGGGGGGGCCCGGGCGGGGGTGGGAGTGACAGACGGGACGCTGCAAGGGCGGGCACTGGTCCAGCTCAGCGCACGGCGCCGCTTCCAGGCCCTCAGCAGGATGGGGGCCGTGTGGGTTGTCCAGGAGGGCAGGTGCTGGGGCTGGAGAGTCCAGGCACAGCCACGGGTGAGGAGAGGCAGGCGCAGGGGCCGGGCCCCTGCAGAGGCTGCTACCCCCCGGCACACCTCCTCCTGGCCCACCTGCCTATGCAGCAGCTGGAGGCTCGGGACCCGATCTGGACCGGGGCTGCTCCCTAGCTGGAGCAAGGCCGGGCAGGGCTGGGGTGCTGCGGGGCCCCTGGCTGATGCTCTGTGCTCCAGTTCTCAGAGCGGGAACCTTGCCCCACCCCAGCCCTGAGTGCCAGCCACAGAAACTAAACAACTAAGGCGGCTACATCCCCACCCCTGGCTTCTGACCCCTCGGGACACTCCCTTCCAGAGAACCTGGCGCACCAAGGTCCTGTGTGCAGGGCCAAGCGGGCTCCGGGGGCCCAGGGAGGACAGGCACCCCAGGAGGGGAGGCCCAAGATCTGAAGTGCAGTGGTGCCCCATGGCCTAGGTCTCCGATTCCCACTTGGATGGATCCCCAGCACTGAGCCTGAATTACCTCTGATCTGCAGCGAGGGGGCTGGGCTGCCTCCTACACCCACCTGCCCTCTTACAGGCGGTCTGTCTGGCTGGGACCCAACTGCGCTGACAGCCTTCTGCAACTGCACAGCCACACAATCCGGGGACTGGCAGTTTGACAAATGGCTGGAAGCCCAGCTAATAGGACGCAAACACCTTCCCTATGAAAGTCATTTTATCTACACTTAAGCCCAAAATAGCCTTGGATATCTCAACTGACGAGAGCGCAAACCACCTCAAGAATGGCAGACAAACCGACGGAATCCACAGATAAAAGAAAGCGGGGCAGCTTCCTCACCGCCCGTCAGAACGGCTGGCAAGAGTCGAGGCAATCCCAGCTCGAAAGCACAGAGAAGGGAAGTGATAATACAACTGTGGTATTGCCCTGTCTCCCAGAAAGAGGAGGAGAGAGGCACCTTTCAGATATTCACTCATCAAACACGAGGTGCCTACTGTGTGCCAGCACTTTCACGCTTCCTTAGAACACACCACAACCCAGCCTTACTGTCCTGTTGGCTTCGATGAAAAGGCCGGTTCCTGGGTCCCCTGAGATGTGTCCACCAGCCCAGGAGATGCACGCAACCTGCAGGATGTGGAGTCGGGACTCACTACCAGCCAGGGGAAGGCCCGCTCTGCCCACAGAGCTGGGAGCTGGTATGGAGGCGAAACACAGAGGAGGAGCCCTTGAGGATGGGCTGGAAGCAGACGTCGGCGCTGAGAGCATGGAGGCCAGGGGGCCCGGCAGGCTGAGATCTCATGCCTTTCCTGGGCGACCTTCTGATGGAGGATTCTCTGTGCCTTCTGCTCTGTGGCTGGGGGGCCTCCAGGGGAGGAGAAGCCTACACCCGGGCCCCCGTCTACTTCCCAGCCCCCAAAGGCCCCACTGCCGCCTGCGAGGAACGCTGGCATGAGGCAGAGGCAGGACACACTGGTGGGAGGGGAGGCACCAGTCAGGCCACCAGAAGGCCCCAGCAAGGCTGCCCACGGACACCTGAGACACCGGGCACCAGCACGAGACTCTGCAAAGGCAGAGTCAGCCGACCCACAAGAGGGGGGGAGCCTGTGCTTTCGTGTTTTCTTTCTTTTTTTTTTTAGCTCAAATGACTGGGATATGAAAATGTGGAGCTGGTTTAGAGGGCAAAAAAGCAGAATTCCATTCCAGATACACTGAATTTCTACTGATAGGAAATAACCCCTGTAAAAATGTCCAATGGGATGAGCAGAGGTTAAAAACCTCGAAGAAATTATAAAACATCAAATCTTTTACCTTTTTTTTTTTGGCAGTCTTGGTGATGCCTCTGCTGGTATCCCTTCTTTATTCTGCTCCCGTGACAAGAGGGCAAAAATATCGAGGAATACAGCAGGCATGAAAGCACCAGGACAAAACTAATTTCAAGAAATACGCCAAAACCATTAAATAAAATTCAACTCCTGAACGTAGTAACAATGAAACCATACTAGTTATAATACCCCATGTTGTCAAGGGTACGGCAAACTGTCATTCTCATCTTTTCTGGATGAAAGAACCCTCTGCAGAGCAATTTGGCAAGATCCATCGAGTGCCAGGAAGTGTCGACACCCTGACCTATAATATCATTTCCAGAAATCTAGACTAAGGGAATAACCAAAAGAAAGCAAGAATACAAAACATATGAAAGAGGGTAGAAAGAGGGTATTTCTTGCAATGAAGATGCTTATTATCTATAATAGTAAAAAAATCAGAAACCACTTAAATATCTAACCATAAGGGGAGAGCTTAAGAATGTTACAGGCCCTTTGTGGAACTATTACACAGATAATAAAGTCCTAGTTACGAGGATAATGTGGTAACCGGGAAAGATTTTTTTTTTCCATTTGCCATACTTTTAAGTGAAAAAAGTAGGATGTGTGAATATACTGACATTAAACAACAATATCTGTGCTAAGGGGGCAGGATTTGGGATGAGTCCTTTTCCCTCCACTTTTCAAATGCTTTTGCGGAAGAGCAAGCGGCAGAGAACGCGAAACGGGCCGGCGGGGCTGTACCTTGGCTCCGTCCACACTGATGATCCGATAGCTGTTCCTCGTGACATCGTAGAAGTAGGAGACGGTGACCGCCTGCTTGCTTGCAGGCACCCAGTTCTTCTTGGTGCTGGGGTCGATCTGGAAGACGTGTGCTCGGGTGGTGAAGATGGGCTGTTCTCTGCAAGGGGAGAGACAGGTGCACGGCTTTATGCAGGGTTCTAGATTCCTGAGCCTCCTACTGCCCCCGGAGATTTCAACGGCTCTGGGGAAAGATGCATGTGCACAAAGGCAACTGGAATAAGGAAAAGGAAAAGAACAGAGGAGAAGAGACAGCGGCAGGGCGGTCGCTGAGACAGTACCCTGCGGTACTGTCAGGCTGCAGGGGGACTGGCCTCACAAGCAATCTGCTTACAAGGCAACTCCTTGGCCACTGTTTTTGCCTCCCGGCAAGTGTCCTGTTCTTTTTCTGACATTTTCAGATTTTGCAGCAAGTTGATTTGTGGGCATTCTACAATAATTTCAAGATTTTGCAATCCATTTGCAATTTCCTATTACATTTCTATTAAGTACCTCTCAAATTCGCAGCATTTTATGAATGATGCATCCATTCATAATTGACCGTGCCTTAAAACTTGGATGTTTCTGACTTAAAAGCCTTTTGAGTTTTATGTAGAATTCCCCAGATGCATCCCTTTGGCTGTCTTGCCTCTGAATTGCTGTTGCTTTTTCACTCTGCGTGCCTGTCAATTCTTACTGTGATTGTTGACCAAGTTAGCACATTATCTATGTTTCTTTCTGTTGAGTGGGGATTTAACCAGATTCTGACAATAAGCATTAAGAGATAAGGCAGATGGAGAAAAATCTCAATGGATTTCACTGCATTTCATATTTTACGGTGTCTGCTTCACAAGATGAAACAGACACATTACAAAATATATTTTTGAAGAAAGGGGCTTAGGTACCCTAGTTCACAAAACCTTTTAAGTGTTCAAAATAAGATAAAATAGGGGGAAAAAATCTAACAGAATGTATATAACCCTATCATTCCTAAGATGCTACTGATTTAATAAGCACTTATTAGAGTAAAAATTAAATCCAAAGTAATGTAGACAAATCAATTTTCTAACTCTGTACAATGTCAAAGAGATGACATAAAAGGACACCCAAGTGGATAAAAAAAAAAAGTCAAAAGAGAAAAGTGAATTTTAAGTGTTCAGGTTTCCAGATGGAGTGGTTTTAGGTAAAGCAGCCTTTGAACCCATCCTGTCTATAAAAGGCTCACTATTGGAAAGAAGGCTATTTCTTAGGAAAAAACATTTTCCCAGAAAAGCAACTGAATATTTGAGCCTCATGCAAGGGCTACCAAATAATGCCATGAGTACCAGTATCATCCATCAGTTGTGCTATAGACAGATGCACAAACTTCTCCAGGACTGTTTCTCTGGATGAACAAAAGCCAAGGGCTCTTCTGTCAAGCTCCACGCAGCTGTTTCCAGAGGCCAGCTTTCCAGAGAACGGACAGACCAGCACTCCTGGTCCCCCGAATCATCCCTTCTAGGTCCCGGGAGCAGGACCAGTGCCCGTGGGCATGTGGATTACTAGGACACTCTCACTGTAACTTCCCGCATCTGTCGTTCAGAGGGGCAGCCCGCGGGGGAGTGCGCTGTGCACATGCAAAGAGTTCTCCTGATCGAGGCCGCCTGGGGGAGTCTCACGTCGGATCTCCCCGCTGGACTCCTGCCAGCCCAGGTGCCATATCTGCAAATCATCTACTATAGCGCCAGAAAGGAAAACGCTTGCTCATGTGGAATTTTCCTGCATACGCAAGACAACAGAGTGACTGAAAGGGCAGTTTGAAGAATCGCATAATGCAACATGGACAAATATGGAAGTAAAAGAACATGGTAAAGGGGCTGGGATGTCGTGGTGCGAGCAGGGTTACACAAGGCTGTCACCTCTGTCTGCTGACAGATTCTCCTGACTGCTTTGCTCTTGCTGACTTTGATGGAGCAAGTGTCATGTTGCTGTGCCCCCTTTGCAGGAGCTGAGGCTGGTCTCCAGCCAACGGCCAGGGAGGAACTGAGGCCCTAAGTCCAACGTGCCTGGAGGAACTGAAATTCTGCCAAAAGCAAAGCGGATCTTCCCACAGTTGAGCCTTCAGATGAGACCCCAGCCCTGCCAGATGCCTTAATGGCACCTCATGAGACCCTCAGAGGGCCCCCTAAGTGATGCCCACAGTCGTGAGCCACAGAGTGCTCGGTTCTAAGTGCCTAAGTTTGTGGCAATTTGTTACACAGCAATAGATAAGTAATACACTGACCTTCACAGAAAGTGTTCTACACGCCAAGCAAACTGTCTACATTCTCACTTAATCCTCTGGACAGGGCTGTGAGTGCACCCCACACAGAAAATTGAGGGTCAAGGGATGATTTTAGGCCAGACAATGAATCTTTACATCTTTATGAGCGAAATCAGAGTACTCTACAAATTGTACCACAAAATTCAGAAATGCAGGCCCTCTACTCTGAAAGAGCATCTTGTCTCACCTGAGAAAGTTCAGGAGCTGAAACTAGGACACAGAAGTCAGTTCCTGCCAGTGTGCAAATCAGTATAAATAGAAAAACACGAGAGAAGCAGAATTTTCCGACCCAGGAGACCGCTTTCCTTCCCAGGAGGGAGAAGCTGAAGAGAGTGCGTATCACAGGACAGAAACTACCTTCTGACCCAGTTTTATTCTCCTGTCTTTGGTGTTTGATGCTGAGGGAGTGTATTGGAAATGCGCTCCCATTCCTTCTTCGGTGCTTTAAATAGAAAGCAGATGTTTCCGGATGGCAAACCGGTTCTTAAGGCGGACAATATAACCCATGTTCCTGCGCGTGGTCTTTTTAGAACTGAATAAACACCAATTGCTGCTCATTGAACACATTTTGGAACCTGACAGTAATTGTCCCCAAGAATAATTAGACACTTTGTGTAACATATGCACATTTGGAATGGGAAAACCATTCAGCAGAGAGACCACTCCTGCTTTGAATGATTTCTGGCTCCCTGTAAAATGATTCTGCAAAGAACTGGCATGACTACTTTTTGTAGAAAATAAAGCAAAAATGATGCTTTAGTTTATTATAATCCTTTTGTTGCAATGCACAGCTTCACGCTTTTTCTGGTACGAACCTGTAAGACTTCACAATTGTTATTATTCCTACTTCTATTTTATTTGAATGAAAACAACCATCCAGACTTTATGTTATAGCCACTTAAATAGTTTCAAAGTCTCTGTGAGACGCCCATGTTAGTTTACCTGCCTTGAGTCTTGAACACCTCCAGACCAGGAGAGAAGTGCGCCTGGCCTCGATGGGAAGACACTGCCCACCAGCGTCAGAGGCCTTCCCTGGCTCGCCCCTCATGGGACCAGGACCAGGTGCCTCAGAATGACCTGCAGGCCCCCGCCCCTCACCACACAGGCTTTGCCACCTTCCTCCAGCACTTCCGAGCCGCCTGCGTTTGCCACTGTCCATGCCTGTGCCTATCGCTGTGCCTACAAGTCCCTCCCCTTGGCTGGCCGGGAGAGCTCCTGTTGGTCACCGAATCCCCTCGCAGAACCATGAGATGGCTCATCTGTGCTCTCAGGACGCAGGCCCTGGCCTGAACGCCCGTCACAAGGGACCAGAAGTGTGGGCTCACCTGGCCCCTAGTCCTCGTTCTCGATGGCTCACGGACCCCTAGCTGACAGAGTCGGACCCCCAGAGCCTAGGGCAGAGTGGGAAAGAAGGGAGATAATGGACAAAAGGCTCTTGTGGTCTTTCTCCCACGCAAAGAATCTAATTCATGAGCATACTGTGGTTCTACGTGCATATAAAATTCCCTAATAAATACACATACACCCCCATAATGACTATAACATGATAATGTATTGTTATTTGCAGGTAGTAGGATCGCACATCTATAACATCCATGAAAACCAGCTGAAAAGGTGAATATGAATATGAATATAAAAGCTCAGTAAGGTGGCTAAGTTTAAAATCACTAATAGAAAATAAAATCAATAAGCCTTCCTATATACACACAAACACCCAGAGGGAAAACATAATGGATTTCTAAAGATCCCATTTATAGTAACAACCAAAGATACAATTTCTAGGAATCTAAGAAGCAAGATCTGTATTTAAAAAAAAAAAACTTCTAAGAAGCAAAACGAAAACTCGAATAAGACATGTCCTGTTCTTAAACGGCAAAGGTCAATATGAAGGTGTCACTTATCCCTAAATTAATACTTCACATTTAGCACAATACAAATGTCAGCAGGATTATTTTTAGAATCAGGGTTATTCGTGTGGAAAGCTCACTACAGGAAAATAGCCAAGAGAAGTGGGAAAGCGAGGAGCCCTGGGAGGGTCGGCCAGGTCAGATGGCGAGATATGGTGTTATGAAGTCACAGCAAATGATATAAGGCAGGACTAGCAAATAAATAAACTAATGGAACAGAACAGAGTCCTGAAATAGAAGCCCAGGGAACTATGTGCATGGTGCAGGCGGTAGTGCCCGACAGTGGGGACACAGACATCATCTCACAAGCCCTGAACAACAGTGGGTCAGCAGCTGCCCGGGGAAAACCCGCCGGGCGGGACCTCAGCCAGGAGTGCACCTCCCGCCTTGTGTGAGCGCCTCCAGGGCTCACAGCAGGTCCACGCTGTCCGAGAGATTTCCGTCTGCCCCCAGCTGCCCAACTAACAAACCTGGTAAATGGCAGGTTTCACTCAAGTCGTATTTCTCACAGGCCCCCCTCCTCCCCTGACTGGGGCTTCCCTTGTGGGGTCACACTGACATCAGAAGATGGGCCGAGACAGTGGCCCTGCTGAACGCTGGCCAGGCTCCTTAGTGACACCACCGCACACCCTCGGCCTCGGCTTTCGGGCCTCTCCGCACACCTTCCCTGCGCCATGAGGTGAGGTGCCAGCGCTGGCTTGCAGGCGGAGGGCTGCCCCAGCGAGGACCTTAGACCCACTTCCAGGGGCTTGGCAAAGGGTGGGAAGGGGTGGCGGTTCCCGAGTGGTGGGTGGGGATCCGACAGGAAAGGTGGCCTCAGAAAGGCAAAGCCGGTGGGGAAGGCCCCCACATGTGTGCGTCAGGCGGGGTGGGGGGCTTTTCTGGGGATGCAGGGGAGGGAAACCGACTGTG